CCCCTGCCCGGTGTGGCCCCGGTCCCCTGACAGAATTCTGTCCCGATCTGGTGTCCTCTTTTAGCAAGCAGCATTATGAAGTCCAGGGGGTACTACAGGAGGCATTCCAGCAAAATCATTAATGTAGCACCACAGTAACTTTAAAGTAACTCTAGCTCATTCGGCCAAAGTGTCCATCGCGGGGCCGTCGCCCCGGTGCAAAGTAAGTTGTCGTTCCTTGTCAAGCAGGTGGCGCGACTATTGAAACCATGCAAACCGTGCGCCTGTAAATCGCATGTGGTACCTACCCAAACAACCACCTTGAATTCGGGACAAACGTAACAATGGTTTTCGAATGAGCTTTGCAGAACATCTGGTTGCATTGGGCCAGACAGAAGAAAACCAAGGGGGCCGTCGCCATGCAAGTCTTTGGGCATCAATGAATATCGGGTCTTCGTTGGGCTAACAATTGGGCCCGTAATGAAGGCAGTTCCCCTTCTGGACGCATTGTTTTGTTTTTTCGCTCGCCCCGCTCCGTTCCTGGATTTGTTGGTTTGTCCTGACAGGGGCGGGTTTGGGGGGTGATTGTTTTTTGTCGTCAAGCTTCATTGCGCATGCATGCGGGAGCTTCGGCATGGTCAACGATTTCAACTAGACTTGATAACTGATTGGCCCATGTGCGATTGCTGTCATGACCACAAATATATTATTTTCCTGGCGCTGCCTTTCGCCCTCTTCATTATTTCGTCTTTGCGTGTTATGTATCATTGAATGGTGCTTCCATGTATGGGTCCGCGAAATCGGTCGTCGCACGGGCTTCCGCCTGCTTGCCGCGGGCGCTGGCGGACACCCACTCGCTGTCGTGGGCGGCGGCTGCCACAAGCGGTCTCCGATCGCCGTATCGCCCGCCTCGTCCTCCTCCCCCGCCTCCTCCACTTCCTCTCCCTACCCCGTCTTATCCTCCTCCCCCTCCTGCTTCTCCTTCTCCCCCGTGCCCCCAGACGCTACATTTTTTGTCGGCGCCCCGCCGCGGCTGGGGCCAGGTTGTCGCTAATGCCGCCCGCGGGCGCGCGGGCGCCCCGCGGGTGCCCGTCGCGTTTATTGCGCCACGCCGCTTGCCCGCAAAGCTTGCACCAGGTAGCTTCTACTGCAGCTCGCACCGCATAACTCGCGCAACATTTGCCGCCCTACGTAGTTTACGCGACGTAGTTTGCACGCCGTGCCCAGCACCGCGTAGCATGGGCCACGTAGCTTGCCTCATGTTGCCGGCACACCAATACGTACACACCACATGTTGTACTGTATCCTCACACTGCGTGTGTCACGCTGAAACGATCGCACTGTGTCGGTTTCACTACGTAGCTTACGCCAAATAGCTTGCGCAACAACAGGCAATTATTGAACGGAGGGGTCCAGCGTGGCGAACGTAACACATCGCCGTGGTGTCTCTTGGGTTTCGCACATGCTGACCATGCGCACGCGCACTTGGATACCAGCCGCGCGTTCACATCGACGCACGCCCGCGTCTTGCTTCGCACGTCCGTGATATTGAGCACATAACGCGCTCAGGTTCGTGGTCCGTTGTCGTGTTCTGTTTGTTTTTGTCTCAAGCCCATTTTCATTTTGCAGATGGCTTCCTGGGGTGACATAGCAGCTGCCCCTCTTCCCGAGCAAGACCTCCGTGAGGAGGATGACGGCGATGGCGACAGGCTCGTTGCTGCATGCGATGCCGCCCGCGCCGACGGGCAATTCACGGTGCGGTCAAAACGGGGGAGGCCTGATCGTAGGTTGCAGGAGGTGCTCAGGGAATCGGCGACCAGATGTGTCGCAAGCGCTCCAGCCCGTGGCTCCGATGATGAACGGAGCATCGTCCCTGAGTCCTCGGATATTGCATTGCCGCCCCCGACCCAGATGATGGTTGGACCGAAGTTGTCGCCGTGTGTGCAAGGGACTTTGTTTGTGCCCAACAAGGTCTGTCAGGGTTTGATTGCTGCCTACAAGTACTCATGCGTGAATCCTGGCACTCGGGGCCAGGACGTGCTCACAATATCAGACGCTTTAGTGCACGCCGAAGGCACGAATTCTTGGAAGTCTCTGGGGTCGTCTCTCGGCGTGCCGCGGCAGACCCTGAAACGTAAGTTTCACAAGTTCGTTGAGGCGATCACGTTGGCACAAGCATGCATGCGGACATCCCAGGACGAACATCTCGTCGCCTCACTAGCTCGAGGATGCTGCGTGTATTATGTCGACCAGAGCAGATACGACGAGACACCGATGAAGGCGACAGTCCGACCAGACAAGGATTACCTCGTTGGCGTCTCGGGTTCAAGTGCTGCCCTCGCCAATCAATTGGCATCTCCAGCGGAATTGCTCATGCGACATTTGGAGATAAACTTGAAGTTTTCACCTGGTGCGTCAAAAATTCTTCAGACCCAGAGCTCTGTCGGAATGCTGCTCAACCTTGGGGATGCATATGTAGGCATAGTCGGTGATGTAGCGTGTCCTTCACAGATTCTTGAATGGAACAGCGGCGCCTGCATCAGAGATGCGATTGCAGGCAACTCTGTCGTGGGAGCTGGCGCCCAATCTTTCGACCATAAGTGCAGAGCTGTGTGCACCGACAGGGGCTCAGCGAACCTTCTTGCGGAGAAATTGGTGCTCAGGGATCGGGGGCCGACTTGGTCCACGTTGTGGAACCCGTGCGAAGTCCATGTCGTGGCTATGGCTGCAGATAAGAGTGTCGGGAAGTTCTTTGATGCCGACGTATCTGGTTCCATCAATTGTGCGCTGTCGATGCGATCGGGCCCGACAATGAACATATTCCGACAGTGCCTCCAGCATGTAATCAGAATGCAGCTTCGGCCGATGCCTGGGCAGCCCCCCCAAGATGCGATTGATTACAGGCAATGGTGCATTCAGACTGTTTTGCGGGTTGGGTCAGATATCCAAGCCAAGCGCGTGTTGCTGTCAGTCCTTCCGAACGGTGACTGGAGGAAGGAGGGGGTCGTCGAGTTTCACTGTTCACGAGCATTTCTGGACCAAGTTGGGGAGGAACGGATTTCTCGCGTCGTGTCGAAGGGCATCATGTACGCACTGGCGTCATCACAGCCGAGTGTATTTCCGCGAAATCGTTGGTTGGGCGCAGACTTGGCCATGGAAGAGTTGTGCAGACTGGAATGTATTCATGGCCTTTTATGTTCTACATATCCTATTTTCTGCCAGCGGTTGTCCAGGAAAGGCTTGTCAGCGCCGTTGCCAGGCGGCGGCCTCCCTCCCCCTGGAGGCGGCCCCGCGCTACTTCCCATCCGCGACGAGGAGGGCGACGACGATGAATTTGACGGTGGCGGCGTGGGGCCTGCATCCCACGAGGCGCCAGACGGCGCGCAGGCCGCTGGCAAGGATGGCGAAGAGACGCATTGGGCAAGGGAGAGCGCAAAGCGGCGGACAAAAACTTTGGAGTGGCTTGCATGGAAGCCTTTGCCCAGGATTCTCGCCATGAGGCAGCTTCTTGGACCGCGGGCGCATTTGCTCGCCAAGCAGCTGCAGGTAGGATCGCACGAGTGGGAATTTAAAGAGAGGGCGAAGCTAGCGGCTGCGATCAACCAGGGTCGCAACACTGATGGCGTCAGGGCATATCGGGTGGTGGTTGCAGCTTGCGGGGACCTAGAATCAGCAGTCGTGAGAGATATGACAGAACTTGCAACGCAGCGGGAGAATTGGATTCACTACCCAGCCCATTGTGTGAATATGGCTTTCAATTCGGAGATTTTCAGGTCCACGAGTGCAGCGCTGTGCATAATCGAGCAGAACATGTCCAGTCTTCACAATGAATTTCCGATCAAGTTGTTCAAGCTTCTCAGAGACCCAACGCTAGCCGATGCCATGTCGAAGGAGCCCCCGTGCGTGATGGATTCCTGGACCGCCGACATGCTGACGCGACATCCTGGTTTCGTCGGTCCCGAGTTCAAGGCGAAGCTGATTTTGACAGCGCTCGTCCACTTCACCGACATCTCTTGCATTGAATCGCTACATTCTTCTATTCGCAGGTTGCTGGTGCAGCGGTCGGTGCAAACGCACGCCCTAGACATCTCAGGTTGCGATGTGGAGTTCATGTTGCAGCAGTTTCGTCGGTTTTCAAAGCACATCGGCTTCGATCAGCAGGTCGTGAAGGGCATGAAGAAACGGGTGGCCCCCCTCGCACCCCCTCTGCACGTGCCATTGTTTGTGCGCATGCGTGTGTCCTTGTAATGTGGATGGTTGCGTTTAGGCGAGCGCTCATGTCCCGCGTCCAGTCGTACACCAGTAGCATGGCTGGACATGGTGTCTCCCAAGGGGCCCACTTGCGACTGATTCAATTGATAGGCGTGCTGTGTACCTTCGTTCGGTGGTCGTCGTCGTTGCAATGTCACGGCGTGTGCATCCAGTCTACACTTGCGAGATGGGTCCATGTTTGGCATGTGCCATTCTTGTGCGATGGGCCACGCTATCGTGCGATGTCTGGTCGGCGTCATATCGTTGTCGCCACTTGCTTGCCACTATCTCGGGGCGAAGTTATCCCTGGGAGGGGCTTGTGTCAGTGTCATCGGGTCTGCGTCAGAGTTGTACATGCATGCGATGGCCATACTACCGCACTTGATATCGTTGTCCTAGTTGCTGCCGTAGTGACATCAGTAGCAGTTGCGGTTGTAGTGGTAGTGGGTGGTATTACAAGCGTAGCCGCAGTGTGATAGTGACAGCGCTAGTAGGAGTCACATCAGCAGTGGTAGTGGTGGGCAGCGACGGCAGTGAACGCGGCAGTGGTGGTAGTAGTCGTCGCCTTCGTAATTTCATGAGTAGCATCATATACGCCCGCGATAGCAGCATCGGTAGCGCTGGTAACAGTAACGGCATCAGCAGCCTTAGCACGCGCGCCGTCCGCTGCCCGCGGGATGCCTCAGGTGGGCCGCGAGCCGACGCGCAAGAGCGTCAAGAAGCAGCTCTTGCAGGCTAAGCCGCTGCGTACTGGAGGAGGAGGGGCATGGAGGGCCTGGGTTCACGTGCAGGCTCAGGGTTCCAGCGGGCTTCCTGATATAGCAGCAATCGCAGCTACGTACCGCGCAGCCAAGGCTGCAAATTCATCTGCGTATTTGGAAGCCAGGAGCCTTGGTGGAGCAGCGTCTCTGTCAGCGAAAGTATTGAGAAGCCTCGGTGGTCAGAGAGCTCGTCCTTTTGGCCTTTCCACGAAAGAGCTTCGTGCAAGGGCGAAGGTTGCAGCCAGGCTGCATCAAAGCAGACTCATGGTCAACGCGAGCATTTCTGAGCATGTCGGTGACGCGGTCCGCTTGAGGCAGGAGGACGTGGATGAGGGGGTGAAGATCGCGAGGGGGGTGGAGAGGCTGAGGGCGCAGAGAAAGTCCGAGGAGGATGAGAGGGACAGGCGAGCTCTCGTTCAGTATGCCGCTAGGGCTGGCAAGGCTGCTGTTGACGCTTTGATGGTTCATGTGCCGAACTTGGTCAGGGATGGGATTGTCGCGATCCCCTCGGAGGGGTGCTCGCTCCTTGCGATGCGTTCTAGTTCCGTGCAAATGGCAACGCAAGCGTGTGCTTGGATAGAAGCCTCGTCGGGGCACGGCGTCGGCGCAATGCTTGAGAAGCAGTGGTCGGCCAGACACGCAACAATACTTCATTCTGGAGACGATTCTGTGGTTGAAGACATTACTTTGTGCAGGAAACGCTTATGGTGCACGTGCGATGAATCAGGGAAGGTTTCTTGGGCGATGAAGAACAAGTTTTTGAGGGAGATGAAGTCCATCTTTGCACCGCGACCCAGGGGCCCCAAATATGTTTTGCAAAGTGGGAGCGTCGTTGTGAAAATCGTCGGCCACAAGCTTGTTGACGTTGGCCCTTCTGCTTCTGGATGGGCGGCGGTATCAGCTCACAAGGATGAGGAGGTAGATTCGGTCACCTTTCTGCACATTGGCTCGATGCTCTTCAACCCTTACCAGCCCACTTACCAGAACATGGAAGTTATACCTTGCCCGTGGCCGTCCATAGAAGCCGACGGGCGCGCCAGAGGCAGGTTGTGGCTACAGGCATCACCGTGCTGCGTTGTTCTGTGTTTTTCGGCATGTGCTTTGCGCCTGCTTGCCGCTTGCCCTCGTCGCCCGTGTTCACAGGTTCGCCCTCTTATCACTATTGCGTCAGTTCGAGCCCCCCTCGCCCTTCGTTCCCATCTTACTGGTATGATCCGATGCGTGCGGTTCTCCAGCAGCATTCCATGCCAGTGAGTTTGTATCACGGAAGCGCCTACTAGGTATTCCCAGCCATATTGTGTACCGTCGCGCGTCAAAGTTCAATGTCATGTCTCGCGGCATGCATGCCCGCGCAGCTTTACATTGCTGCTCCGATGTAGGCAGTGGTAGTACATTCAGCGTTGAGCCTTGAGCCACAGTCGACACTCTCTGGGCCCCACAGCGCCGCAACTTCGAAAAATACATATCGGCCGCTCAAGCCTGCGTGGAATAACACGAATACTGGGCTTCCTCGCTGAGACATAGTTTTGTTTGGCGAAAGCAGATTGGATGGTAGGCGCAGCTGGGTGGGGGCGGCGGTGAATGAGGGTGGGGCGTGGCCTCCGACCTGCGAGAGCGGGGGCTATCTCCTAAACACCTGCCGCCCGTGCCACATAATAGTACGCGGTGATTTCCGCCCCGCGCCAGGTTAAGGCTGCGATTTTCAACATGCTGTCGCCTTTTTATCAGCTAATGCCATGCGGCTCACATGCCGCCGCGGCGGGTAACGCCCAGACCCCGCTATGCTGATCAAATGGTGCCACGCAGCGCGCCCCCATTCAAATGTGGCCAGTGGCTAAACCTGCGCGCACTTGTCAAACATGCAGTACGTCGCGCGACCCCCCACAGATTAGAACGTCTCAATGCATGTGGTATCGTGCCAAATAGCCTTGTGCGGTGAGCATATCGTTACCGCGGCTGGATCCTAGGACCTGCCACGCATGTCAACTAATGCCATGCGGCGCGCCTTCCGCTAAGGGGGCTGACTCCTAAGCCCCTGTCAGCTCCATCAAACCATACCATGCGATGAGCGCCCCGCATCGGCGGCTAACTCCTAAGCGTCCACCTTCCCTATCAAACAATACCATGTGGTGACGCCCAGCTAAGGCGGCTGGCTTTCACACGCCTCACCGCCCTTCAAACAGTCTTGCGGCGCGTCCCTCCGCGGCTTCTAGCTCCCAAATCAGTTGGGCAACGCGCAGGTCTAATCATACCATGCGGCGCGCGCCCCAGGGACAAGACTTTGACACGGCGTTGTCTTGGTCGATGTGTCCCGCTGGGGCCGTCAGAAAACGGCCAGCGTGGGCCCTAACCCGCGAGAGGTCGCACGATTGCTGACATGCGGTGCGTAGAGTGACGCGAACTCGCGTTTGGCGCGGAGTGGCGGCGGTGATAGCCCGATAGGGTATGCATGCAACAAGCAGGGAATACGACGCGGCATCAAGCCGCCTCTTTCTCCCCGTCCTCCGCCCCATCGTTCGCGTGTCCTCCTGCTTCTCCTCCAGCTCCGCCCCTTTTCACCGCCTGTCCTTGCCGTGCCTCCCCCTTCTACTCCCCCCTCTGCTCCGTTGTTCCTTTTCAGTTCTTTCTCCCCAGTCTCCCTTCCCTTCTCCCCGCCCTGTCGCCGTCGCCGTCGCGCGCGTCGCCCGCCCTCCCGTCCTGTGCCGCCGCCGCGGCGCCATCTTGCCTTGGCCCTTCTGGTTCGTCGCGGGGCCTGGTGCCTGGCGCGGCGCGGGGGGCGGATGTTGTTGCGTTGTGTTATTTCAAAATCAGTTTCAAATCATATGAAAAAAAAGAAAAAAAAAAAAAAAAAGAAAAAAAAAAAAAAAAGAAAAAAAAAAAAAAAAAAAAAAAAAAAAAAAAAAAAAAAAAAAAAAAAAAAAAAAAAAAAAAAAAAAAAAAAAAAAAAAGAAAGAAAAAAAAAAAAAAAAAAAAAAAAAAAAAAAAAAAAAAAAAAAAAAAAAAGAAAAAAAAAAAAAAAATTAGTTTCATTGACAGTTGGCAGGGTCTTCTAATTATTGAGAATGTACGGGAGATGAGGAGGAAGGAGGCGAGGGGAGGAGGAGGCGGAGGGGGGCGAGGAAGAGGAAGGGGGGATGATGAGGAAGGGAGAGGAGGAGGGAGGAGAGGAAGGATGAGAGAGGAGGAGGAAAGGGAGGAGGAGGAGGGATAAGGGAGGAGGGAAGGGGGAGGAGGGGAGGAGGGAGGGGGGAGGCGGGAGGAAGGAGGTGGGGCCAGCTAGGGCAATCTTGGGGCCATATTGGGCCATCTTGGGGCCATCTTGGGCCATCTTGGGGCCTTGCTGACCGTGGCGCTGAATATGCAGTACGAGGACCCGTTCAGGGCGAGGAGGGGGGGCCGGAGGAGGCGGAGGAGGAAGAGGCGGGGGAGGAGGAGATGGGAGGACGATGAGGAGCAGGAGGGGGAGGAGGAGGAGGAGGAGGTGGATGTGGAGGTGGGGGTGGAGGTGGAGGAGGAGGTGGAGGTGGAGGAGGTGTCCGCAGAGCTCCTTCGGGGAAGCTTGGAGGTGGAAAAAAGCTCTTACTCTTGACTTTGGAAAACCATTGATTTCACACCATTCTGAAAAGTCAAGAGTAAGAGCCGAAATGGAAGCCAGGGTAACCCCAACATGGCCCCGATATGGCCCAAGATGGCCCCAATATGGCACCACAACGGCCCTAGCTGGCCCCGAGATGACCCTAGCTGGCCCCAAGATGGCTCCTTAGGGGAAGCTTGGAGGTGGACAAAAGCTCTTACTCTTGACTTTGGAGAACCGTTGATTTCACACCATTCTGAAAAGTCAAGAGCAAGAGCCGAATTGGAAGCCAGGGTAACACCAACATGGCACCAAGATGGCCCAAGATGGCCCCAAGATGGCCCAAGATGGCCCCAAGATGGCCCAAGATGGCCCCAAGATGGCCCTAGGTGGCCCCGCCTCCCTCCTCCCTCCTCCCTCCTCCCTCCTCCTTCCTCCCTCCTCCCTCCTCCCTCCTCCATCCTCCCTCCTCCCTCATCCCTCATCCCTCCTCCTCCTCCTCCTCCTCCTCTCCTTCTCCCCCTCCCCCGCCCTCATCCTCCTCCTCCTCCTCCGCCTCCTCCTCCTCCCCCTCCTCCTCCTCCTCCTCCTCCCCATCCTCCTCCTCCTCCTCCTCCTCCTCCTCCTCCTCGTTGACATCGGATATCCAAGTGGTCGCGCTCACGTGCGCTCCCTCTGCCAGTATCGGCGCACCTCTCATGCTTGCAGTGGCCCCCAAATCGCCGCCACCATCGGCAGTTCCATTGCTGGTCGCAACGGTAACGCTCGCATGCGCCCGCGCCAGCCCTCACATGTCAGCTCGCCACATCGCGTGTTTCGCGTGCCTTAGGGAGCTCCACCGAAGGTCACGCTTGCGGCCTCACTGTCCAATCATGCGTAGGGCTGTCGCTGGCACCGGTGTGATCCAGGCCGTGCGTTGTCTTCCTGCATGCGAGCGTGTCTCTTTCAAGTTTAAGGGGTCCGCGGGGGGGTGGTGGACGCTTGCTTTGGGGCTTTCGATTTGGCACGAGAGTTTCGATCAATGGGCATATCACTGCTTAATTGCGTGCGTTGTTTGCTTCCTCTCTCTCTCTCTCTCTCTCTCTCTCTCTCTCTCTCTCTCTCTCTCTCTCTCTCTCCTCTCTCTCCTCTCTCTCCCTCTCTCTCTCTCCGAAAAAAATCTCTCTCTCTCTCTCTCTCTCTCTCTCTCTCTCTCTCTCTCTCTCTCTCTCTCTCTCTCTCTCTCTCTCTCTCTCTCTCTCTCTCTCTCTCTCTCTCTCTTTTTCTGAGTTCTGCTTGCGCGCGTCCGCCATGCGTTGCCCTTATTCTCGCGGCGTGCGTGTGCGTTCACATGCGTGGTCGGTTTGGTGTCTAATGGCCTTCGGCCAAATCCGCACCCGCGTCTGGATAATGGGCCAGA